TCAATGTCTATTACTCAGGTTCATCAAGTTTGTAGTCACATGTAACTTGTTAAAGACGTCATGACTAAGAGGAATTGATTCTGACTGTCAATGAAAAGCGTCTATTCGGCAATACTATAGTAAATAGATACGAGTATTGCGTAATATATAAAGTTCATAGCGAGATGTTTAAATGATCGAGCACAAAGTACTAAGATGCCTTATTATATTCGTGTGTATAACGCCAACATATCAAAATCTTCAAAGTGTGATAGTACAGATACAAAGGTTACTACCGATGAGCCCATCTACTTACTATAGATGAAGCGAGACTTACCTATATATAGCATGACTACACTAGTCACAAATACATGGGAGTCAGTGACTTCTCTGAAAGTGTCACATCACCTGGCATGCCCATTATATTCAGTTAACACTATCGACTCAAATTGCAGGTTCATGGACTTAGTATACGTAGAGTACAGGAATAATCAAGTTAATGAAATTACGATAAAAACAAGTGCTCTCAGAGTGCTAAAGTATTGAGTGAATAGTCGATGTCAAACCATGAAGAGGCGCAGCAGAGATAGGGACAATGGCCAATGGCACACTCGTCATGACACTTGGCTCTTCTGGCACAAACGCGTAGCAAATTGATTATATAATTACAGAACTAGGTCACACGGGCATGGTTATTCTAGTGGCAGCGCTCGGTGCCTAATCGAGATAGACTAGCTCTACAGCGTAATAGAATAATACAGTAGTGTAGAGAAGCTAATATAAGGCGTCTCGTGTCACCAGGTTCGTCGGTTGGCATATACTTTGATTGGGGCATCAATCTTCATAACCACTTCTATTTGGATCCGATCGGTTAACTGACTTTATCATGTCACTCATATTATGTACATTGTTCAACTTGCTGAAAGACTGATGGCCGATTCTTCTCAAAATAACATTAAAAATGATAAATGGTCATTGAATGACTACCGGAGGCACAGTTGAATGATTCGCAAAATTGATAACGCATGTTTAACCACAAGTACTGACCATGGACCTGAATTGGTAATTAAAGACTTAACATGAACAATATTGTGCAGTGGCAACGGATACCCTCTACGACAAAATTAATACTAATTTGAAATTTAGTGCGATAGAAGGTTGCGTCGTACCAAATTTGTTTAACCTTTTACTTGGAGGTGGGAAAATTTTAGGCCCAAAATGTTCCGGGCCAATAAAGTTTTAGCGCTGTTCTTATTTAAATACTGGCTATTTTTGATACGCCCTACCTCTTAACTATGAGTCTGCAATGATATTAAAACTGTGTTTCTAACTTATACATCTAGCTCTAAACTTTGACTGTTTTCGTCTTTCTCTGGACGCGTATAATGTCGGTCGGAAAATATTTTATATGGTAAAATCCACGTTTCAAGGTACACAAATTGCATGGAGCGTTAATGAAAGTACTACCAAGACTGGAAATTGAATACTCTATGACCGCTATGCGAACCCGACATATCAGTGATTCTAATCCAATAATTTTACTCTTAACCGGTCCAGTCGTGCAATGCCGAGCTAATCTAGATATCTGGAACAATAGAAACGTATGTTCGTTATATGAACAGATTGGATCACATTGAGAGATATATTCTGTCATACAATTAGATACCTGTGTGCTGTCTCTACCCACGCTGCAGTATAGAAAGTGCGTACGAAGGTGTACAGCATGAATCTCCGTCGATCAGAAGCGATAATACAAACGGTCTCAACAATATGTCCTTTTTTAGCCTCTTATAGGGGATTGATAGTGTTACATAAAAGGAAAGCGAACCTTTCTGGCTTACCGGACTCTACAGAAAGAGCACCCATACGAGAACACCACTCAGCCCCGCTCACCGCGCCAACAGATTAGACCCTTGGTGCTCACCACGTACATTCACAGGGCCAAGGATCCGTACATGCTTGCAACTGGGCGCAATCGAATAACTGGCTCGCGCGCCTCCCAGAGCTCCACGACTTATGTTGCACTTAAACAGCGATGAATTTATACTCATATAAGAGCACTATACGTTAGGTCGTTCAACTGGATTAATCAAAAGTCTAACTAGCTTTATGTCTTAGCTAATCAACGGAAGCAAAGGTGCGGTTACGGGAGTAGCGGCTTATGCACACATCATATGCCTACGGATGTGCTCCATGGACATATATACATTTTGGACGAAAACAACAGTGAGCAAATCTTCGAGAGGCACAAGAATATTACAATTGTCTATTAGTGGGTTTATATGATGACGTGCGAAGTTAAAAATTCGTTCATAGTCCAGTACGTTGACTCCTTGTGCTATCTTTCCCAAGCACTTTCGTTTTTATCATCGTTAGGCACTACGAGAGTGGCTCGAGCAGGTTAACCAGTAACGACAACTGGACATTGATGTTTGAATCTGTAGGTATTGTTTTTAATACAAAATAGTGCTTCAGTAATTGAACAATAAAAGGAGAAAACTCCGGGGCATTCTTGTCACCTCAAAGTATCTACCGGTTTTCAATGAGCGACAACGCAACAGCACAGTAGACGCATTACCATAATATTACAATCATACCAATTTGCACAAAGGGCACATTATACATCAGTATGTACATGCATCACAGTCGACAACATTTTATACATAAATATGTACAATATTATGTGACACAAACACTTAAGAGACCAATACATATTAATACATTACATAACGTAATAAGTGCAGTACATACCTTACTCATAACATTCGTATATTACCAGGGAATTAGTGTGTATGCTGAGTGTGTGCATAAAGATATCTAATTTCACACAGTTCCTATCAGAAATAATCATGCTTTAAAACTATCAACAACTAGCATAGATGGAAATATAACTCTAAATATTATGCTACACACACTAACATCTCCTTAACGTACAACACACATTAGCACAGAACACTCACCAACACTACACAAACATCATGACACTAACTACGTCACATCGTCATACACACATACACACACACAAACACCAACATCAAACACACACACATCCACTACACATTAAAACACTGGACACAACGACCTACACATCCCACACACACATCTACACACACACACACACACAATCACACTAAGCACACTCACACACAACACACACACACACACACAACACAACAACACACATTAATAATTAATTATAGTATATATATATTATTATTAATAATATATATATTATAGTAGCATGTAACTATAGCACATATTAGCTATATCAACTATGCTATAATTCTGTCCGATTTAATTAATTACATCCATTAGACGTAATTTTACTTGACAAACACAACAAGCTTATATTGCATTCCGATTCACCTAAGATTAACGAAGGCTTTCACAATTACGTGAATTACTATCAAATAATTAGGACCATTTAAGCATTCCTTACGCCCAGCAGAGCATAGAGGGAGCACACTGCCGTAGTTTTCGCAGACGCTGCACTGCCGCAGTTCCCCTCACTCGACCCCAGGTATCTCGGAAAGGTGAGAATGCTCCGTCGATACGTATATTATATAATATATATTATATTATATATTATACATAGTATATTTCCCTATTATTATACTGTACATTTTGAGGGACAATCAGATTTTTAGGAGAATATCAAATTAAGGATTATTACTCTTTGATCTTATTTACTACGCAGGGGAATTGCTTAATCTTTGGTATACCACATTAGACTACAAACAAAAGTTTCTCACTGAGTAATATTAAATCGTTATATAAATGGCAGATACCTACATTGTCGAAATGGCCTTGTCAGCAAGTTTAGACCTGAACAAGTTGGCATGCTGAAAAATATAATAAGAAAATTGCGTAGCAGGGCTAGCCTCGCCCCCCGTCGTATAGCTGACATGTCCTACATCACCGGAATTACCCAGTCGCGTTTGGGGAGTTCCGCCAAGGCAAGAGCTCTCACGAAGGAGAGGAGAAGGAGCAGCAGCTGACGGAGGAGGAGGAGGAAGAGGAGGATGCCACACGCCATCCTAGTGAGATTTGCACAATCTGCATGCTATGCCTGGCCTGTCCATGTCCTTGTTTGTTGACAGTAATACTACGCTAGACTATTCCCATGGGGTTCGCGTTAGCCATGAGAAGAAAATTCGCAACACTTCTTTGGATGTGGCACCTCGGAGGATACATTCGCACAAACGTACGGGCGGGATCATATTTCGGCAGTCACTTAATTAACAGGTTGTTGGATTCCGCCCTATTTCTCGCTCTCATTCAGAAGTGTCAGTGTTCATTATCTTGTAGTTTTTTTTTCAGAAGCATTTATTTTAGCACCATGCGTTCCAGCAAAAGAGAGTACCCATCCAACCGCAGTTTTCAAACTGACTAAAAGAGGCGCATGCAAATATTGGAATATGGTGAAAATAATGTTTTTCATTTTACGAGTACTTCACATGACATATCAATGAAGAGCTTTAATGATTTAAGACATTATTCTTCACTTTTAGCACATCGCTTAGAAGATCTGTCTAGAAGTCTGAATCGGCAGGCAGAGGTTGCCATGCGCAGTATCACCCTCGCCTCACGCCACCAAAAGGCACATGCAGTTTAATCTAATAAGATGTATTTGTATCAGCAGTTGTTGATATATATAGCATCTGAAATTAAGACAAAATGAAGTCAAGCCTTTTCTTACTTAGCATGTCCATTTCGCGACATCTTGGAGCCTCGCGATTGATTTATAGCATATTATTCTTAATCTTGCAATGCATTAAATTGTTTCTGTTATCTGTTCTTAGTTGCAGGAAAAATAATTCACGGTGATTACATAAACATAATATATATACATGGAAAAAACAACCAAACCCAATATAACGATTTAAAGAGAGGATGAGAGGATGAAAGAGAGGAGAGGTTTTGCAGGCAGCAGAAGGTTTCCTGGTGAGTTTCCAGCCCGGCGCGAGCAGTGTTGCCCCGCGAGGAGCTCCAGCCAGTAGTACTCCGAGAGGAAGGTCACC